CGTAGGTCTGGGGAGCCAGGGAGGGGCCTGAGAACCTGGTCCCTGATAGAAACCTGGAATGGAATGTCTCTCAACCCTGTCCCTGACCCACACTTGACCTGTCCCTTTAACCCTATACCTACATTTCCTTTCTGCATGCCCCCAGAAAGCTGATGGTTGGCTGGGCAGAGATAGGCCTAAATAGAGCTGCCATGTATCATTGCAAAGGCTGTGCACTGCACAAGGGCACTCTGCTTGCTAAACTGTAAACCCAGTTCCAGAGGAAGGGGCTTCCTTGTCTAATTTGCACAGAGGTGCTCCGGGCTTAGGCAGTGGAGCTATGAGAGGATGTGTGGCTCACACAATTCCTAATTCCACTGGCAGAGCCCTGGCCACAGGCCTGGGCTAAGGCCCCTACCCCAGCCCTCCGTGACACCTGCCCCCTTTGCAGTGCTCTTGCCCAGGCGACCAGGACTACTGTCTACACTGTGAACATTCAGGACATAGACTCTGCAGCTCGGTGAGCACCCACAGGATGGGTGGTTGGGGCGAGGGAGAGGGGACTGCTGGGTGGTTCTGGGTGGCTGACTCCACCTCCGCCCCATTCCAGGGCCCGAAGTCGTTCCTACCTTGATGCCTACTTTGTCTTCTCAAACGGGTCGGCTTTGACTCTTGACCAGCTGAGTGTGTGAGTGGGGCTGCCCTTGGGGAGGGCAGGAGGATGAGCAGCAGGAAACCTGGGGGATGCCAATGTCCCTCGGGCCTGAGCGGGGCTCTGTGTTCAGGATGATCCGGAATGACCAGGACTCCCTGACGCAGCTGCTGCAGCTGGGGCTGGTGGTGCTGGTAAGTGTCAGCGGCGTGGAGGTAATGGGGGTGCGGTGCGGGGGATGTTGACCCCACGGCCTCCCCTCATCACACTCCTTCTTCTCCAGGGCTCCCAGGAGAGCCAGGAGACAGAGCTGCCTGACGTGCTCCGTAATGTCGTCATAGGATTGGGAGTGGCTTTGCTGCTGGTCATCGTGATCATGACCACAGCCCTCATCTGTGCCCGGAAGAGGTACTGCTGCCTTCACCCACCGTGTCTCCAACCTCACGTCTCCCACTACCCAAGATATCTGGGGGGTAGAAAGAGCTGGGGCTAAGGTGTCAGGTTTATCTGTATTCAATCCCCAGTGACCTGTTGTGACAGCTGGGGCAGGTCACCTCCCCTCTCCAAGCCTCAGTTTCCTCATTTGCAGAATGGGCATGATGCCAGATTCCTCAAAGCACTCAAGGAAGCAATCTTGAGTGCATCTCATACCGAGCAGGGTGTCTGGTATATACTCTGCATTTAATAAATGCTGCATCTTTTCCCCTTTCCAATACATGTGGAGCCAGTAGCCACATCTGGGTTTGATTCTAGATTTTGCCACTGGCCAGCTGTGTGGCCTTCAGCAAATCATTTCCCTTCTCTGGTTCCTCCTTGTACCTTCCATATGATGGAGCTAACAGTCTCATCTGCCAAGGTTGTTGGGAAGTCACACCCTTTGAGCCTGCACTGAGCACACAGTAGGTGTGCAGGGAAAGTAGTGCCTCCCCCCTCCGGATTCCCCACAGCTACCACCGGAAGCTTCGGGCTATGAAGGCTGCCAAGGAGGCCCGGAAGACAGCAGCAGGGGTGATGCCCTTAGCCTCCGCCATCCCTGGGACTAACGTGTACAACACTGAGCGGTAAGCAGGGCTCAGAGGGTGGCTAAGAGGCCCCATGGGGTGGCTGAGGCCCACGGTCACTTGACAGGGCCATCTCTCCAGGGCCAATCCCATGCTGAACCTCTCCACCAAGGACCTGGGCTTTGAGTCTCAGTCTTCCTCCAGTGACTTGGACCACATCAGGTAAGCAGTGCCCCCCGCAGCCAGGCTGGTTGGTGGTTGGTAGTCATGGTGGTAGTAACGGTGATGGTGGCAGTGGAGGTAGTGATGGTGGTGGTGGTGATGGCGGTGGTGGTAGAGGCAGTGGTGGTTGTTGGCCAGAGATGGGGAAAACTGGGCCCACCAACTGTCTGAGCTCCATTATCTCCCCTACAGCCTCAACTCTTTGGATGACAACTCTGTGGATCTGGAAAATAACACTCAGGAAATCAAGGCAAGATGGGGGATGGGTTGGTGCCTGGAGCTTCTGAAGGTCCTTCTCTGAAGGGGTGGGGCTCAGGAAAGAGCTCGGGGGACCTGCTGCTGACATGGGTGTGTCTCTGGGAAGCCCCGTGGCTTTGGAAGGGGACCCGAACCTTGCTCCTCTACTCATTCACTAAGAGCCTGGTTGGGTGACTTCCTCCCTCTGGTTCTCAGTTCTCTCATTTGTAAATGGGAATCAGAACACCAGGCACGCAGGGCTGTTGTGAGGATAAAATAAGAGCAGGTATAAAAACCATCTGGCACAAAGCAAGGGCTCGGGAATCTGGTTCCCTCCCTTTATAGCCTTTATATAAAAGCTGGGGGTGGGGGGGGTGAGGAGGAGATCCGGAGGTGAACGGGATCTAGCCAAGGAGCGAAGTTAGGCTCAAATGAGCAGAAGTACCGTCATTTGTTCAATAGGTTAGTTGGTTCGATGAGATCAAGCGTTTGCATAGCCTGGGCTGCTGACTGGAATCACAAGGAATCACGTCCTCGTCAGGTCACAGCCCAGAGACTCTGATGAGACAGCCGGGGTGGGCCGGGGCATGAGTGTGTTGCTAAAGCTGCCAGGGTTCTAATGACAACCACCAACTCAGGAGAGTAGATTAGAGAGCCGGGTGCGGGGTGGGGCGCCAGAACCAGAAGGAACTACCCTCTCCTTCCCAGTTTGAAAACCACCGTTGGATAGAAGCTCTAAGGCTCACTGAGCTTTAACAGTTCTGCGTGCGTGTGTGTGTGTGTGTGTGTGTGTGTGTGTGTAGGGGTGGGTATCCCATCCCACTTTGGGTCCTGCCCTCTAGCCGGGCCCTGCCTCCGGGAGGTCCCCAGCCCTCCCTCATGCTTCAGACTTCTTTTCCCTTGAGGACCCCTTACATGGAAATATTTGGTCCACAAAATCCTCAAGTAAGTGTTAAAATATCAGAATGCTACCCAGGGACCTGGCTGTAACATGGAGGCCTCCAAACGGGTCCCCAAGGATGGGAGTCATGGATGGTGAGCCGGGCTGCCAGGTGGTGCTGGAGGCCTCTGGGTGGACAGCTCATCTCTGGTTGAAGGTAGTTTGGGGCAAAAACTCCAATGAACATGTCTGGGGGGAACTGAGGCAGAAGGGAACAGTCTTGTGGGCTGGAACTTGTGGCCAGGCAGGTGGCCCCTGGCAGAGGCCAAATCTGTCCTCCAGAGGGGACTGGAGTTGGGAACCTCAGTGGTAGGGCTGGATCTGTGGGCTGGGGAGGGTCAGGGAGCAGAGAAGAGTCTGGAGAGGGAGGGGGTCAGGCTGCTGAGAACCCGGAAAGGAGTCAAGACTGCCCTGCCACGGCAGGGGGTTGTAATGTCTCAGAGAAGCTGCCCGAGGCTCCTGCAGCAGCAGGTGGGCCTTGAGGAGTCGCTGGGTGGGGAACACAGGTGGGGCCTTTTCCCATCAATCCCTCGGTGCCCTGACTCACCTAACACGTCCGGGAATGTTTGTGTGGAAGGTCTGAGAGAACAAAGAGCTGATCCAGTCCAAACTTTTCAAGCAACCAGGGCCGGGGGAGGGGTGCTGAACTGCCAAAGATCAGAAAGCTGGCAAGGCCAGGGCGGCCGACCAGAACCCAGGTCTCCTCTCCCCCAGGCCAGGCTGAATTTCCTGGGTCTTACTGTGCTAACAGCTCCCACTGAGGGGGGCCTGTGGCGGCGGCTCTGGGGAGCACGGACAGAATGTTTGGGTCCTCCTGGGGCCCCTCAGATGTTCCACTGTTTACCAGGGACCGGAACAGCCCCAGTCTGGAAAAAGCCCCTGGAGTGCCCCAGGGAGGGTGGAGGGGACATGGGCTCTGCTTTCCTGGGTGACTCTGTGGTGGAGTGGCTGAGCCTGGGGGCCTGGCTGGTCCACAGGAGGGATTCTTGCAAGGAGGTGTGTGTGAGTGCGTGACACGTCACATGGGGACGGGGAAGAGGAAAGGCAGGTGATGAGTGAGTGTGCGCCATGATGACCTGAAGGCGGGACCCTGGATGTGACATGTCCCTCTAGGGTAGCAGCACACGCTAAATTCAACCAGGGGTAGCCGTGAGCCATGGACAGGCTTTAGAGCCAGAAAGACCAGTGGTCCAAACCCTGTTCTACCCCTTCCTGGCCCTCTGAACCTCAGTTTCCACATCTGTAAAGTGGGGGACATGATCCCTCTCTTAGGGGGTCCTGTGGGTATTTCAGGGAATCGGTGGACGGTGTCTAGCATGGTGCTTGCCGTGCGGTGCAGGTAGTAGGAACTGTCCTGGACTGGCTCCTTGGCACAGGACACAGGGCCTGGCATTATTCAGGACTGGGCAGAACACCAAAGTGCCGCCATGTGCGTGGGTGGGGCAAAGGCCAGGGTAGACCCCTCAGGCCCACCCCTTCTCCTGAGCCCATCTGCACCACCAGCAGCCATGGCCACCTGTGGGACAGAGCCAGGAAACTGAGGCCCCAGCCAAGGAGCCATCTGGTGGTGGGCCTGAAGGCGTAATCACTCTCCTCAGGACTGCGGAGGTCACCGCATCTTGGCCCGGGCCTCACACCTCCCCTCTCTCCCCACAGAAGGAGACCCCACACAGTCCGACAGCGCCAGATCTAGAGCCCCTGAGCAGAGTGCTGTCAGGACGGGAAGCTGACACCCGTGGCCAGCAGGAGGAGCTGGGCTTCACCAACCCTGGCCTGAATACCGTGGACCTGTGATGGGGCCCTGCCACAGGACCCTGGCCACAGAGCCGCCCCCCCACTCTTCTGGTCTACCTCGGAAGAGGCCTTGTCACCCCTCCCTTAATGTAGTAATATATCATGTTGCTCTACCTCTGTCTGCTTCTAGCCAATCACAGCTGACAAGAGTTGGGGGAGTATTTTATTACCAATGTATATTGTGACAGTTTGTAGCCAAAAATTGCGGCTGGAGGGGTGGGGACAGGGTTACTGAGTGGTCACAAGAGACTTGTGGGGCTCACAGCACTGGGGGATGAGGGGCTGGAGAGTGTGGTCTTTTGGGGACATGAGCTCTCCATCCTGCCCCCAGTACCCAAGACCAGCTGTCACCCAGGCTGTCTGTGAGCCTCTGACTGTGATGCCTAGACCCGTCTAAAGCCCTCTCACCTTTCTGTGACTCGCCTTTCAGCTGAGCCCCCAGGGCACTCCTGCAGCCACCTTTGGCCTGTCTGGGAATTGTGAACCAGTGTCCAGTGAGGGTGGAGATAGGGCTGGGGGTTGGGACAGGTGAGGGGGAGACAGGAACTGGGGACAACTACCAGCATGCAAGAGATGCCCAGGCCATGGGGCCAGCCCGCCGCGTGGACACACACTCGCACACACCCCGGGCCTTGCACATCGGGGTCTCACGCTCCAATCCTCGCACACTTGGGGCTTTTGTACACGGTCTCTCCCGTTCTGGGGACCTGGCCGCCGCTGGAGACGCAGCGCACCAGTCTGAACATCTCAGGAGCCTGCCTCAGCTCTCTGGGCTGGTGGCGCTGGAGCTGAGCGGGTCCCGGAGGTTGCCCAGTGTGACCGGGAGGGGGTGGGGCTGACGGCTATGAAGGGACAGTGCGGTGTCAAGGCTGGGTTCGTGGGTTCATGACCACGAGGGAGCTAGGTAGAGGGGGTTCATTTGCGTGTTTAGGAGGGGAGCGGGGCTGGAAAGGGGATGAGAAGACCCTAGAGGCTGCCCGCCCCTCGGAGGCCTGTCGTGCGTCGAGGGGATCCCTTCCAGGGGCCTGGGGTCAAGAAGGGAGCCTGAGAAGGTTGGAAACCCGGGCGTACAAAAGGGGGGCAGATCACTCGGCCGTGGGTCCGGCCCGCGAGCAGCACCGCGGCCGGCGCACACTCTGCAGCAGCGCGCGGAAA